TGACACCTGAGTCCTGTGTCAAGCCACTACAGCCCCCAAAGTGAGATCAAATATCCCAAGTGTCAGTGATGAAAAGGTTAGCACATAACGGTTTGCAAATTATTTTAGTGATGCCTAGACTCCCATGTGGCGGGGGTGGGGGTGGGGCGCTTAGGCATCACCTGGAATGATTTAGAGGGATAGAGGGAAGACTTTTGCGTACTCTGAAAGCTTCACCCCCACGGAGCCAGAATAGTTGTTGCTTTCTTTCTAATTGATTTTCTTTAAGCCACAGATACGGTAAAACCAAAGTCTGAAAGCAATGGTAATGAGGTGTTATTTTAGCTTGAGATTACCAGGGTTCTAGTCAAAATAATTAACAGTGTGATACAAGAATTGACCAATCAGAATGGATACTAGTCCTGGGGTCTACCAGAAGTTAGCTTTTAGTTGTTGGATTGAGGAGAGATTGGGAGAGTCCTGGGTGGGGGAATCAGATGACCAGAGCAGTAGAGGGTTAGAAGAGACACGCAGGGAGCTCAGACCACTGCTCTTTCCTAACCAATATGAAAACATTTCAATTTTCATAACCAGTTTGCCTATGTCTTGGAAATTACACACTAAATCAGGGATAGGGTTAGGACTTACTTAGACCTTAATTTCCTGGGGAAAAATATAAAACTCTTTAATACTAGTAGTTATGCTACCATTTTTAACAATGATCTCAACATGTAAAAATACAGTCTTTCTTCAATTTCTAGCCACATCAACAACTCATGTCAGTAAAGTAGTAGGGTACTGCCTAACTGATTACGAAACATTCTAACGTACCTATTTTCACGGATTCTGAAAAAAGAGGTGCTAAAGACGCCTAATCATTTTTTAAATATTCGAAAATTGTGTTAATGGAAACAGAATGGCCTGTTAGACAAATATCGCTTTGCAGTCAATTTGCAACTTCTGGAATCACTGCAGACAGTTACAAAGATCAGGATGAGGCTACAAGACACGAATCAGCAGATTCGTGGGACCACCAGGTATCGGTGTATCATTTTCTAGTTCGTCAAGGAGCGTTTTTTTTTTTTTTTTTTTTTTTTTTTTTTTTTTTTTTTAAGAGAAATTCTGCCATGCATGATTAGTTACAATAGTGGGCTTTTGCTTTCCCTCTGGAATGATAAAGCATAATCACGGGCTTCTGTAATGTGGTACCGCGCTTGTAAATTTGTGAAAGAAGCTCCTTTTGTTGACAGGTCTAATGTCTGCCATCTGTTTGCATGGGATGAAGCCCGGGTGCTCCCCTAATTGGCCATAAATTAGGTGCCAGCAGCAGGCTCCTGACAGGAGGCTTCAGTTACAGTTTGGTTGTTTTTCAAGCTGTGAATTTGACATTTGGTGGGAAGAGCAACTTCCCTTCTAAGAGTGCAGAAATGCGTGTGGTGAGTTCTACATGCAGGCTCCCTTCTCTAGGTTTCTGTTGAAAGACCGCTCTCGAGGTGTCCTCTCAGTGTGTGTTCCTAAGGATAAACTTCTGCCAATTAGATGGAAAAATCGCCAAATCAGAGGGGCTCCTGTGTCTTCTGCAAGAAAAGGAGAACGTGTTTACTGAACGCTTGCTCCACATCCTATGCTGTGCATGGACCTGCGTGTACAATAAACCGACCTTCCCACCAAGCTCACATTTCGGTAATGTGAGCTTATTTTGCAGGTAGGGAAACTGAGACTTAGAATTTAAGTAACTGTCCCTACTAAGTATTAGGCAACGGCCCAAACATGATGCAGGCACGATCCAACTAGTGAATTCTGTTTTGACAAAGCCCATGCACTGCCCGGCGCAAAGCGTGTATGACCACATTTGAGAAAAAGAGAAAATTCGGACGAGGGCCAAAGTATGTGCACGATGCTATGTGGTGCTCCTTCAGTCCTCAGGCCCACAGTTAACTAAATTGAAGAAGCAGGACCAGATGGCCCACAAAAATCCCATCTACTTTGTTTCTCTGATGTATCTGGGCTTTACCCTTTACCAGGAAATCTTATCAAGTTATTAAACTTCTATGGGCTTCCATTTCCTCTCCTGTTGACCATCCTGCCTACCTTCCAGCTGGGATGCCATGCATGTGAAAATTCCCAAATTATAAACGACTGTAGGGATATAAACTGATGGGATACCCTAGTCACCTGGCACATCCTCAGCCCCACCCCCACTCCTTCCCTGGCCAGATTTTCTCGCTTTATACTTTATTTTGTTAAACATTTTATTTCTAAGTCATCTTTACGTCCCGTGTGGGGCTCGAACTCATGACCCTGAGATCAAGAATCAGATGCTTTTCCAACTGAGCCAGCCAGATGCTCTTCTTGCTCTATGTTTTAGAGACAAGGTCAAGACCATATTGAGCTTCCATAGCTTTCCTTATCTAAATCTCTACAAATTTTCTACTTCTCCTCTTAGAAAATAGAAGAAAAGAAAAGCACACATTCTCCATGTATTCTTTCCTTGTTTGCCCACAATTTCCTCCCCTGTGGCCCCATTTCCATCAAACGGTCCCTCTAGTATTTCATTTCCTCCATTTTCCTGGATGCATGTATGTACTCATCACAAGGACGCTCTCCAAGACCCGCCAATGCCTCATGTTCCCCCTTCCTTTCCCTTCCCTCCCTCCTTCCCTCTTTTCTTTCTTTCCTTCCTTCCTTCCCTCCCTCCATCCGTTTCACCAAGTTCTTGAAAGAAAGAACCCTTAGTCTGGGTGATCTAACTTCCTCAGCACCCACTTGCTCTCTGCAACCTGGACTCCATTCTCACCACTTGACTGAAGCTTTTTTCTCCCAGGCTCCTGAACTATTGGCCTTTTCTCTATCTGTCTGCCTCTTGGCTTCCACTTGGATTAGACACTGCCGACTGTCCTTCCTCTCTTGGATCTTCCCTTGGATTCTGAGGTTTTACATACCTGCTCTGAGAGCTGACACCTCAGTTCTATTCACTGGTGTGTCTTCTCCTGCCTCTTCCTTCAATGTAACAATTTTCCCAAATCTTAACCTTGGTCCTTTTATCTTTATTCTTTGACACAATTCCGTCCAGTCCCATGGCTTCAGCTGCTAACTCTAGGTAAGCAAATTTGAAGTTAATTTTAAGTTAACTCCGACAAGAGTTCTTGTCCCACCTTTTCTATCTCCTGCAGAGCATCTGTTCTTGAGTGTCCCATTGGTACATCAAGTTCATTATGTTTTTGAGGGAATACCACTGTGCCTCCCAAACCAACTCTTCTGTACATCTTCTAGATCATCTCTCAATCCTGACTACACCCCTAGTTTCTTCCTTGCCCTTTCCTTTCGGTCAAGGAGTAAGCCCTTTGGTTTTACCTTTTCATGCTAATGCATTTTTCTCCTCTAGCCGGTCTCATGACCACCATTTGGGCTGACAGATACTAACCATATATCCCCGCTCCTACTTCACCCGTAACACATTTTACAGAGCCTTCTGGGATCATTCTACCAAATGCAGTGATACAGTGACGGACACTATTTGGTTGCCTAAAACCGTCAGTTACCCTCACCCCGACAAAGAGTGTTCTTGGTGAACCGGCCCCAGTGTGTGTATGAAGCACCCGTCGCAGCACTGCCTCTGGCCGCCCTCACCCAGCCCCACGCCGGCACGCTGCCACGGTTCCCTGCTCCCTCGCGAGGGTCGCTGTGTGGTTCACTCTGCTCATCTTGCCTCTCCTGTGCTTTCCAGACCCACCTAATCACAGCGCAAGCGCGTGCTCTGGACCCTTCCTATTTTCTGCCTTGTGCGGAGGCTATATCTTCTCTAGTAGAAGTGAGCCCCCCAAACCGGCATCTGTGCTGCCCCTCGGACTCTTCTCACAGCACCAAACACAAGACCTTGTTCTCAGTAGATCCTCAGTAAGGCGAGAGGCAAACGAAGCAAAGGATGACCAGGTAATATTGTTTCTGGGAACCAGATAAAGAGCATCGGTGTCAGATGTCGTTCTGCGGCTGTGTTGCCACTCTGGTTCTAGAGACCCAGGGCCGAGGGGTCTCCAGAACTGAGATGTGGGGATCGAGCGGGACCCCTCTTCCTCTAGAGCTCACGAAGCTCAACATTCAACTCCATCGTTCCGGACTGCTCACATCTGGCCCCCAGTGGCATGCCCCACTGACACAGCCTCTTCTGGCCCCACGGCTGCTAATGGGGTGCTTTACACTGCTTTCCCTTGGGCCAGGCACTTGGCTTTTCTGATCGACTTATCCACAGAAAGGCGGTGAGAAAGAGCCTGGAGGACTGCCTGCAGACAGTGCACCCCCAGGCCCTTGGAGAGTCTGCAATCCGACCCTTGTAGTTAACCGAAAAAGCCCTCGGGCCATGAGACTAGCAAGGCCAGAATGCAGAGAAGGAACAGGGGTAGGCATCACCCAACACACTTTTAATAACCCCAAATATATACCTCTGTCTAAAATGACGTTTTCTCCAAAGGCATCTTCCTTAAATACTTATAGAAGTCTGGGGGTGGGAACGTAGAGATAAGTAAAGCAGGCTGGAGGAACGGTCCACGTCTTAATAATTATACGAGTAACACTGTACATTCTATAATAGTGATAATGATTATCAGTACTATGAACATTTATACCAATAGCTAGCATAGTTAAGATTGTCCAAAGTAAAGAAAACAAAAAACCAAACAAACAGAAACAACACTGGGACCCACGCTTTCCTCACGCGCCCTCCTTAATCCTCACATCTTTGTGAACAGTGCATCATCGCCCGTGTATAAACCGGCCAACTGCAGTGAGGCTCCTAACGGTTACGCACCCGGCGAAAGATCTCAAGGGCAGAAGGGACAACAGGGAGTGAGAATTCCTTCCCATTCCAAGAAAAACAGGGAATGAGCATCAAATATAAAACTCATTTGAAAATGAAACAATCTAAAACAAGTGTTAATAACTCCATAAAACGATGTGTACTTCGAAGAACTGAGGTACGCCACTGACAGGTGTGTGTAGGACGCGTAATAAAGCAATGTACTCACTCTCTGTCGATGACCAGGCAGGTCACAGCCTCTGCAGCGATTACGTTGGCTGTCCTCACATCCTCCCTAGGTAAAAAAGAGAGACAGAGATTAAAGTAAAATCACTTTGGGGCGCCTGGGTGGCGCAGTCGGTTAAGCGTCCGACTTCAGCCAGGTCACGATCTCGCGGTCCGTGAGTTCGAGCCCCGCGTCGGGCTCTGGGCTGATGGCTCAGAGCCTGGAGCCTGTTTCCGATTCTGTGTCTCCCTCTCTCTCTGCCCCTCCCCCGTTCATGCTCTGTCTCTCTCTGTCCCAAAAATAAATAAACGTTGAAAAAAAAAATTAAAAAAAAAAAAAAAGTAAAATCACTTTTACTATCAAAGAGAAGGGTTCACTGCGATTAATTTCAGGAAACAAGGTAAATTACGTGTACCTCTCAGATTTATCCAGCCCTAGGGTTAAGCTTCGTTCATGTTTGAAATTTGTCCTGAGGAACCACCTTACTTTTACCATTGATCCCACAAATCCTATAGTTAATAATCCAGGAGTTATAATTTTCAGTCTTAAAGTTTCATTTTTAGAAGTGAAGCAAATTTTACATCATCATTCCCTGTGCTCTTTGGGGAATGAAGGAATTAACTGGATCGTGACAAGGACGGTAATGGACAGGGTAATTTGAATTTTGAGAGGATGGGCAGATATATTTCTGAGCATTGAGTATCTAATCCATTTGTGTATGAATTTATTACTATAACCTTGGGTACAATGGATCTGTTTTAACTATCACCTTGAGACCCTGTTTTTATGTGGCTAACCTTTTGACAACTAATAATACACAGTTATTCATCTATACCAGAAGAGTATTTGACAAATTTTAATCACTCTGATTGAAATATATATATACACACACACATATATATATACATTATATATATATATACACACACACACAATATATATATATATATACACACACACACACACACACACACACATACAAACACACACACATACACATACACGGTTTCTTTGCAAGCATCCAATTTGTCACTTCAGGCATATCTACCAACCTCTTAAACCTTTAAAAATTTGTTCTTGTATTTCTCATCTTACTCAGAGGTCTAAGATTTTGTAAATTAACATTCACATTTCATTCTGAGCTACTAAAAATTTCATAGCATTACTGCATGGAAACATTAGGTTATACTTGAAAATGTACTCCTTTTCCTGGAAAAGTAAAATTTCTAAGTTAATATAATTAATGATAAATACAAGTTTGAAATACACTAAAGAGAACATACACAGAAATAACATAGTGTTAATAATACATTCTAAAAATCATAATCCAAACATCATAGGTCTCTAATAATAGGCTTTTCAAGTCTTGGAAACAAAGATGCACTCGCTGAATTTTTATTTTTTCAAAATACACTACATTCTCACAGATAGGTCTGAACTCAGTAAATTTTCCACTGATCTTTTGTCTTCCACTGTTGCTACACCATGCTATTAAAATTACGGTTGCTTTACAAAAACCATCAGTACTAAGTATTTGGTAAACAAGTTCCCCCTTACTAAAATTATTTTTCAGAGATATCTTGGGGCACCTGAATGGCTCAGTTGCTTAAGCATCCGACTCTTGATTTCGACTCAGGTCATGATCCCAGGGTCACGGGATCAAGCCCTGAGTCGGGCTCTGGGCTGATGGTGCAGAGCCTGCTTGGGATTCTCTCTCTCTCTCCTCTCTCTCTTTCCTTCAGAAACAAACATTAAAAAAGAAAGAAAAGAAATATCTTGAGGATACTGTTAAGCATTCATACTTCACAGAGACTTTAAAATCATTTTTCCACTTCTAAGGGAACCCACGTTGGCCTTCTGGTAGAGCTGTATTACATTTATACATTGATTTCAGAAGAAGGACTTTAATTATACTAATTTCCCATACAATGCATGACATAACACTCTTCTTGTGTGGGGAGGTGTTCTTAGATGTTTAAGTAAGTTTTCTTAATATTTTTTGCTAGATCTGGATATTTTTAAAAAAAGAATTCTGGGGTGTTTTATATCAATGCTTTCTCTTAATGAAAGCAATGTTTCTATTTCTGTTTCTCATTGGTTATTGCTATTAAAGGAAAGAAGCTATTGATGAATGTGTATTTAAAAAAATTTTTTTTACATTTATTTATTTTTGAGAGACAGAGTGTGAGTGGGTGAGGAGCAGAGAGAAAGGGAGACACGGAATCTGAAGCAGGATCCAGGCTCTGAGCTGTCAACACAGAGCCTGACATGGGGCTCGAACGCACGAACCATGAGATCACGACCTGAGCTGAAGTCAGACGCTTAACCGACTGAGCCACCCAGGCACCCTGATGATTGTATACTTTTTATCCACGTGTCATAGTAAGCTCTCTTCTGACTGTGCAACTTTTATTAGGGTCTAGACAGCTCCCAGTAGGATTCTACCAGCGTCTCCCTCACATCCCCACCCTGCAGCCAAAGCGGCCACCTTTGCTATCTGCTGAATGCTTCACGTGCCTCGGTGAGGACTCCCTCACTTGCCCTCCTGGCCTGGGAGGTGCTTCCCCAACTCCTTGACTAGCTCACCCCTGCTGACCCTTTAGATCTCGGCCCACGCATCCCTGCATCAGTGAACTAGAAGCAACCAGCCCAGGCTCCCTGTTCACCTGTGCTCATGGCCCTCCGTACCTCTCCACCCAAGCACCTGTCAGTCTGCAACTTAGACATTTATTTGTGCGGTCACTGGGTTGATGATTCTATCCCCCTCCCCCTAAACCATAGGAGGGCAGTTCCCTGGCTGGTTTTCTTCCCTGTTTTACCCAGAATGCTGGCCACGTGGGAGGTGCGTAGAAGGTATATAGTACAAGACGGCACAGCCTGGAGCCCACGGGCAGGACAGCACAGAGCCGGCTTTGGACTCGCACTGTCCTCGTTTCAGGAGACAAGCTACAAACTATGCGAAAGCCTCAAGTGTGGGAACGGTGGGAACGCTAAGCCTGCCCCCTCACTGCCGGGTATTCAATGCGATCAAGGGACATGTATCCTGATGCCCAGCCGGTGGACAGCGGCGTGTTCTTCCATGTATCTTGATTCTTCTCACCTCCTGTGCGGCCACGCTGTCCGGCATCTTACGAAACACTCCTACTCAACAGAGCGCAGCTTTTCTTTTGGCTCCGAGGGAGCAGACAATATATTTTCAACTCCATCATCGCTTTCTGAGCAGGAATTTTCAGTGAAGCGGATACCATGGGCAGAAAACCTCACTAATACACCATTAGGTCTTTCATTTATCAAGCGAATAACTTATTTCTTAGGAGACTGTTCATGATGGTATGTTGCTATACCTTGCTGCTAGTCTAAAAAAGCCAAAGAACAGAACTCCTATCATAGCTTTGTAGAAAACATATTAAATCTGAATTTTCCTAAAATATATTACCATCTTGACAATTTAGAAATTGCTCACAAAGTCCTTAAAATAGAACATATACAAAATAATGCTTTTTTTTTTTTTTAACGTTTTATTTATTTTTGAGACAGAGAGAGACAGAGCATGAACAGGGGAGGGTCAGCGAGAGGGAGACACAGAATCTGAAACAGGCTCCAGGCTCCGAGCTGTCAGCACAGAGCCCGACGCGGGGCTCGAAATCACGGACCGCGAGATCATGACCTGAGCCGAAGTCGGCCGCCCAACCGACTGAGCCACCCAGGCGACCCAATAATGCTTTCTTTTGAATGTATTCTCTACACATATTAATTTTAAAATGATTTCATCACAAATTTCCAATATTTGAAGATGTTATTATGTTTTCTGGCCTAAATTGGACATACTTTTTTAAATGAATGTAATTTTCTTGCAACAAGATAAAACACATAGACATTTTAAAATATAGATAAGAATGGGGCACCTGGGTGACTCATTCGGGTAAGTGTCCAACTTTGGCTCAGGTCATGGTATCACGGTTCATGAGTTCGAGTCCTGCGTTGGGCTCTGTGCTGACAGCTTAGAGCCTGGAGCCTGCTTCGGATTCTGTGTCTCCCTCTCTCTCTGCCCCTCCCCAACTTGCACTCTGTCTCTCTCTCTCTCAAAAATAACTAAAAATATTAAAAAATTAAATTAAATATACATGAGGGAAAGTAATTATCATCAGAAGAAACTATCAGTAGAAATTGAAAGTATTTTAAAAAGGAAAAATCTGGAAGTTATGCCCTACAATCAAGCTTAGTGCCTAGTAAAGTGACATATATCAAAACAGAGAAGTGGTGTAATATGGGGAAAAACAATATATTAAATATAAGATTATAACATTTGCTACTTATTATCTAGTATACAACAGGAACCATTTTAGTCAATTCACACAAATCTCATTTAATGCATAGAGCAGAGGGTAGGTATAGAATCTCAGATTTACACGTGAGGACAGAGGTTGGGTCACACGCCCTAAGTCAAACATAGCCAGTGAGTAGCTGCTGTGGAATCTGAACACAGATCTGGCTGGCTCGAGGGCTCACGTCTTTCCACAAAAGTCCACCGTGTATACACTCTGCTACCAGATTTGCATTCGACAATTCTCAGTGCATTCTGGCGCAAAATAACTTAGGAGCACCAAGTAGTCAGACGGTTCGTCTGTCATCATAAAAAATATATTCAGTTGTTAATAAAAACAGCATTAATAGGTTTATGGGTGCTCAGTTGCAAAGCTGATGCAATAAGCCATTTTGTTTCTCATATGGTTAGAGTTCCTCCCATCCATGGCTATGTTCTAGCCCTAATATGTCGCTTTATAATAACGTTACATTACAATAGGAAATTATCGAATGCCGACTTCATTCAATGCCGAACTCATATTGCCACTATGCTGTCATTGTATCTCTACTATTTGGGTGCTTAATGTCATTGTGCCTGCTGACGCAGGTGTCCGGAAATGCTGTCTCTGAGTACCTACAGAGCCTGCTTCTGGGAGAGGCAAAATTCTATCTGATCTAGTATCGACATAGGTTAATCTCTTATTTCAGCAGGGACAGTACGGACTTCTAATGAGAGAATATTACTCACATAAGCAGACAATACG